TACAAATAGCAAATCAAAGAGCAAAAATGTTATTAGACAAAACAAAAGAGAAAAGAATATCAAATCAAGCAGAATATTCAAATCCAATAGAAATTCAAATAGGAGATAAAGTATGGTTAAAAAAGGAAAACCGTAGAAAATTAGATTCAGTATACACAGGACCATTTACAATAATTGATATTCAACATCCAAACGCAATAATTAAAAACCAAATAACAAATGAAAATCAAATCGTACATAAAAATAGATTAATAGTTTAAATATCTCATATAATCAAAAAAATAATATTTGTAAGACAATTTAGTAAAGAATCCACCGAGCCTAGTTTCAAAAAAAAAAATGAAAATCAAAAAAAAAAAAAAAATTATAACGAAAATTGAAACAGGTGAAAGTTCCCAGTTTTATACTGAGGAGTGCGAAACTCGGTTAGTTAAATAAATTGTCGTAAAACCATTATAACATAATTATAAAACAAAATCAAATTTATATAGAGACATCTGGAGTAGTCACAAAATTTAGAATGGTTACATTTCATTTCATTTCATTACACCATTCTCCCAAAAAGGGAAGGTGTCATGTGCATCCCTACAAATAACCACGACAATAACCATATCGTAAACAAACAAAGTCATTAACTTCAATCCGAACAAAGTTCATAGATTCAAATTACATAGAATGCAATTGCAACCATATGCGGCGATTGCGCCACAGCGTTAGAGTTATTTCATTTCCACTTTCCTCTCCCCGCGTGAGGCCTATACCGAAGTGCCAACGCAAGGTGTCATGTTGCGCAGTCGGGTAGGACCACCAAGTCACCAAAAATGCAGACCTGGCAAAGATGCATATTTTGGGTATCGGCACTCCAGTCGTCTCGTTCTTACATGTAGACTAACTAGGATAAGCAAGAACATGTAAATGCTATATAAACCAAATATTTCATAATATACATGACAATTATCGATCAGCAGTCAAACTCTCTTCACTGCGGTCCTCACTGGTAGATACTCTGTTTAGAGTCTACCATAGTTTGGATACCGCATATCAAAGAAAGCCCTTCTCCAAAGGAAGTCTGTTCGATCGATCCATGTAGGCTCAACCTGCTACACCACAAGATTTTTTTTGTAATTACTTTATTTGTACAGGCTCAATCGAATAAACTACGAATATTACGAATAAACCGAATCCCAGCAGTGGCACATAACAAAAAAGACTGCAGCTTGGAAGGACCAATATGACGGAGGTCAGGAGGAAGGTCAACAAGCTCTACGAGTTGATAAAGGATATGAACAACATTCACACTGTAACCGTTCGTGAAATTTCGCTGAGGTTTTGATCTAACTCAGTGGCTTAAGCGCCACTCTCGATTAGGAGAGACCACTGGTCGTGTTAAAACTTTGCCCGAAATATGAGACTTTTCACTCAGAGGACCTCTTGAACGGTCGTTGGCTACTAACGGCAATGAAAAAACTATTAACTTTCTGATAATGCCAAGTCCTTCAGTAATACGGGAATGGAGCGCATGGACCAAATAAATAAACCGAAGATATTAGTCTGACTCACCCACGAAACGAAACGGAAAGAGAACGAAGGCGTGCTTACTCAACTGAGCGGAAACAAAAGAAAACAGAACGTAACGTAGTAAGTGTGTTTTATTCAGGGAGTAGCATTCAAAACGTTCGAAAAGCTAATCTTCAACTTTTTCTTTAAACTATATTCTAGCATTCATTTGCATTGGATTTCTGAGAGGGGTGTACGGGAAAGGTTTTACTTGATGAAACGATGAATCGATGACTGCTGATCGATGAGGGCTCGACGACTCGATGATGGCGGCGATAGACGACCTTCCAGGTAGTGTAGCGATGGCAGCGTAAACGTGATGGTGCCGCTCACGTGCTGCAGTATGGTGCGCAGCAACGAAAGGTGACTCGTACGCGATATGGCCGAATTAGAGTTGCGGAGGGAGTGACAGCTGGACGAAAGACTTCTGATTTGGCAATCGAGAGCTGAGCTACGACGAAAAGTCGTGCTGTCCCGGGAGATTCGCTCCGCAAAGAGAAGAGGCCAACTTACCTTCGGACGGCTTCGCGTACTTTGACGCCCAAAAAAAAGCGGAGAGGAGATCGATATTGAGCTGTGATTATGATCGACGTCAAACATGCATTCAACAGCGCTAGCTGGGAGGTCATCGTCGAAGCGTTGCATAGAATGAGGGTCCCTGACTACTTATGCATGATCCTGAAGAGCTACTTCCAGAACCGATCCAGATCTGATCTTCAATACAGATATGGGGCATAAATCGATTAGGATCACGGCGGGAGTTCCACAAGGCTCTATCCTTGGACAAACACTCTCGAACGCGATGTACAACGGACTGACACTCAAGCTTCGGAAGAGTCGAGGTCCTTGGCTTTGCGGATGACTTCGTTTTGAGAGTGATGATCGACAACCGGTTAAACTTAAACAGCCTCGTCGAATATATCTGTGAGAAGGCTTCGAAAGCCATCAACGCGATAGCCAAAATCATGGCGAACAACTCTGTTCCCAGAAGGAGTGTACCCCAATAGGCATAAATACGTTAGGCATACGGACGTTAGGCATAATGGGCGTTAGGCATAAAGTCATTAGGAATAATGGACGTTAGGCATAACATACGTTAGGCATAATGAACGTTTGGCATGAAATACATTGCTGCAGTTAAGTAATCTTGCAATAAAAATTCAGCATAGTTCTACTATATCTTGAAATCAATCGCATTTAGAAATAAAAAAATCTCACATTTGTTGTAATATATTCTTACACACATATTGCAATTGTCAAAAAAGAAAAGGTAACAGCTCATGAAATAAATAATGGTGAATTCTGTGATTTTTCATTCAATAAAAAAACATACATGCTGCTTCCAGGTTTAACTCCCATACTTTTCGATACAACGATTCTGTTTTTGTTGTCATCAGAATGAAAACTAGCGGAACCGTCTGCTGATGTGAAGGGGCGATACTTTCATGAACAGTGACGAGTTGCCGAAACAAACAAGGAACTGTGGCAAACGAACCATCTGCAAGCCAATACTTTGCCTGTCCAAGACGTCGCAAATTTTCATCAGTCCCAAAAATTAAGGCTCTTTAATTATTATCACCGATGTCAGCAATCAATAGACGGTCCCCATTATCATCCTTCTGGAATTCATCGGGTAGATTATGCCTAACCTCAATCGACTATCGTACATTATGCCTAACGTCTGTATGCCTAACGTCCGTATGCCTAACGATCGTATGCCTAACGACCGTATGCCTAACGTCGTGTACCCTCCCAGAAGTAGCAAGAAGCGTCGTCTGGCCAGTGCGTCGTTGTCGATTCTGAGGTACGGAGGTCCAGCCTGGGTTGCAGCGCAGCAGAACCAAATTAAACTGAACAGTACGTACGAACTCATGACCATGCGAGTCGTGCTTCCGGAACCAGTATGTCGGAAGCATGGGTTATCGCCGGAATGATCTCTATCGACATCACCTTGGCGGAGGACTGCGAATGCTATAAGCGGAGAGAAACCAGAGGTGTACGAATATTGGTGAGAGCGGAGTCAATGGCCTTCAAGTGGTAACTGGAATGGGTAAATACTGATTCTTTCAACCGAGCAGGAAGCATGGAGACATAAACTTTCACTTGACGCAGTTCCTGTCTTGTCACGGTGCAGGAAGTACCTGCATCGGTTCAGACACTCATTTTCAGAGTGTTAAAATGTGGACGAAACAACTGTCCTCGATTTGAAGCAGTGCAAAAAGAGATGCCTACCTTACGGCTTACGCGCAGAGAAATGTGTTGAAAGAAGGCACCTGGGATGCCGTCAGCAGGGCAGTCGCTCAAATACTGTCAGAGCTGCAACGATCAGGGAGCTAGTAACGCCAGCTAGCGCTGAGATTAAGAGAGATAAATGAACACACTTAAGCACCATTTCAAGATTTATCAAGGTTCTAAAGCACTCTTTAACTGTAGCGGGTTAAAAAATGTATTTTTTTTTGTCTTAAATGATAGTTTCGAGTCTAAAGAATACGGGACAGTTTGTTTTTGACCCGGGAAAAATTTCTTTCGCATTTTTTTTTCGGCGGAGGCTAGGAGACTGCACGCTCCCGGTATGAAATTTATCTCTAATCGTGTTTTTCTCGAAATCATCTTTTTCAAGTCGAGCGGAAACAAAGATTGTTCAAGATTGTTTTTTTTTTGTAGCTGTACTACATATTTTTTTCTAGTGAAGTTCCTGAGTTTTTTATCTTTATCTTTAAAGGTTTTTTTTTGTAATTAAGGATTATATTTTATATTTTTGCCTAAAAATTAGACCACTTTCAAAAATCATGTATTTTTACCATCGGCCGGGTACTTCACTAGTTTAAACATTCTAGTTTATGAAACTGTAATCCATTTTATTTTAGGACTACCTGCGGCCTTAACCAGCCCAAGGCTGAAAATCTCTCTAATATAGCAAAAAAAAAACTACCTCCAGCTGCAAATCGTGTCGATGCCATCACTTGAACGAGTGCAGTGGCACCTCACTGCATATTTCAAAAACCAAAATATTTTCAATAAAATGCTGAAAACCACATTCTTTTAAAGTGTTTCTGTTCGCCAAAAAAATCGCGGAATTTACCCTTTTTTCGGCTTCTACACTGGCCTAACACCTTAACTGCACTCAAAATTGTTACTTGAGCAGATCAGTTTTAGTTTGGATTTAGTATTCAATACATTGTTTTGTGACTTAAACCATTTTATTTAATTTCTTATGAATTCCATAAGTCTAGAACACTAAGTTGAGAGCGGGCAAAACGCTCGCTACGGAAGCGTAAAAGCCTAGAAGAAGAAGAAAGGGGTGGGTATGAATCACTTTTGCTCTTTGCGGATATGCAAATAGTCGTTAAAAGCCTTATTTCTATCCTATTCTGCCTGGAACTGCTCACGTTGAGGGGATCTACGCGCGTTACGTGGGTAAAACAACAGTATTTGTAAAGTACCTGGCATTTTGTATCCAAATCTGCAAAATATCCATTTCCATACTGTTGACAATTGAATTTCGTGTTGGGTATTCCTGTTAACACCGGGAAATCAATCCCAGGACGTCCGACCACACCTTGGTAGTTCTCGATGTCGTCATCTGCATTGTCCGTAATAAGTCGTTTTTGTAACCTCTTGCTTGGTTCACTTCTGCCAACGTTTTTGTCAACTACATATTCCTGAAATTGTGCTGCACCTGTTTGAGCTGCCAGTATACGTGCTGGTGTGACAATCCGCTATACAAAAAAAAAAAGAAAATGGAAAATGTGTTAGCAAAAATATTAACTGTTTGGAAGTGTGCTGGCGCGTGATCGTAACCACTGTTTTGAGTTAACGTGGCAAACAAATAACAATATGTTTTTTATTGATGAATCTACGCGAAACTGCACCAATGCATGCGACCCCTAGGTTTGGATTCCAAAACCATAAAAGTGATGATGTACTAAAAAATATTCTATAAGATTTGACAGGTAGCAAAACGTCATTATCATTTTCACATCATTTCCATCTGCCGGTCGACCGTAACGTAGATTCATCAATTGCAACACAAATTACATGCTGCCTACTATCAAGCTCTGTTATTTGTATAGGGCCGTGCCACTGGCCTGATAAAAGGCATGGCTGCTAACCACTACGCCGAGCCCATTCCCTTGCATGTCATGATTTTTTTTATTTTATTTGGGAAGCCAATCATAAGTTTAACAATGTTAATATGTATTGTGAAATCCAGGCCATGATAAATATGATTAAGAAACGACGTGGATTAATTTGATCTCTAAAGGGCGAACACGAAATTATTGCGACACCAAAAATGACATGCCAATTTTCTTATAATGTTTAGAATCAAACCAAAATTTTAGGGTAGTTTTAGACATATATTTACTTCAAAAATCAAAAGAAAAGTTTATCGATGGAGCCTTGAGTGTAAAATTGAACGCATTTTCGCTTGATGCCCTCCATCAAAGTCTTTACAGTGTCATCCGGTACCAGTTTCTCAGTTTTTTTTTTCCATTTTCTTAACATGCCCTTCTCGTCTTTGACTGTCTTCTTGCTCTTCCGAAGTTCCCGCTTCATTATTGCCCAGTACTGCTCCACCGGGCGCAGCTCCGGACAGTTTGGCGGATTCATGTCCTTTGGAACAAAATGGACAGAATTTGCCTCATACCACTCCAGGACACTTTTAGAATAGTGGCATGATGCCAAATCTGGCCAAAATAGCGGAGCTTCGTCGTGCTGCTGCAAGAACGGCAAAAGGCGCTTCTCGAGGCACTCAGATTTGTAGATTTCGCCATTTACTGTGCCCTTTGTCACGAAAGGCTCACTCCTCAGTCCGCAAGAGCAGATGGCCTGCCAAATGAGATATTTGGAGGCGAACTTCGACATTTTCTTCTTCTTAAATTTGTCGTCCACATCGACCTTGCTCTTGCCGGTGAAAAACTCCAACCCCGGAATTTTCTTAAAATCGGCTTTTATATACGTTTCGTCGTCCATCACACAGCAGCCATATTTTGTCAGCATCTTCTCGTAGAGCTTCCGTGCCCGAGTTTTAGCCGTCGATTGTTGCCGCTCATCGCGGTTTGAGAAGTTCTGTACCTTGTATGTATGTAGTCCAGCTCTCTTCTTTGCATTCTGGACGTAGCTCTGTGACATGCCGATCTTTTTAGCCAAATCACGGCTTGAGACGTTGGGATTTGCTTTAATCATCCGCTTCACCTTTCCCTCCGTCTTTTTGTTCTCCGGTCCCGGTTTTCTTCCAGCTCCTTCGCCGTGGTCCAACGTCAACCGCTCCTGGAACCGCTTCAACTCTCTGGAGACGGTTGAATGGTGAATGTTCAACATTTTTCCCAACTGCCGGTGCGACAGGTCAGGAAATTCCAGGTGTTTGGAAAGAATTTGTTCTCTGAGAGCTGAGACCTACATGGGTTGGACGGTTGACATAAGAATCAGAAAGAAGAAACTAGACAATCAAGTCAATCAAACGTTTTCTTCGTCGAGTTGCTTATGTTTCGGTTTGAGAACACTTAATTTAACATGAAATGTTTTTTTTTTAAGTTCCCTGATTTACGTCCAGTAGTTTTTTAAAGTCTGTACTTTAAGCTATTTAGTGAACTTGCTTTAAAAGCAAGCTGAAGCAGTATATAATAAGGAACGTAAAACAATATATTCTCTAAAAGTGTCAACCATTTGCATGTATACACACCACTGCGTCCTAGCAAGAAGTGCGGTCGACTTGTTTCGCGCTCCGTTAATTTGGAAGTTTTCTCGCTACTCTCTGACAAAAATTATCAGTTTTTTTTTCTCGCTTAGTGATTCCTGGCATAATTCCTGGTAAATTTATCATAAAGTAAGTTTTTTTTCTGAGAAGAAAGTGTGTTTTCGGAATCATCGGAAGGAATTTTTTTGCGATTGGCAATTTGCCAACCATTTTGCGCACCATCGGTGCGTGGTCACGCATACCTGCACACGGATCATCGTCATTGAGTGTCACACGAGGCTCTACCTCTTTATCATCATACATGTGTAGCGTGTAACATCGGTAATAAATAGTGTTAGCATTTAAAGTTATTTTTAAAAAGTGAACTACGAAGAAAGATCCCTTAACTGGTGTCAGAAGTGGGATCATCGTGAGTGTAACATAGAGATACTAGAGTGAAAGTGCTTCGAGGCTCAAGTGCAAAGTTAGAGAACCTAAACCTCTGAACGCCGCAACGACATCGACTTTTGAGAAAGCCGCATCACGTACAGCAACAGTTCGAAAAATTAAACCTCTGAACGCCGCAACGACATCGACTTTCGAGAAAGCCGCATCACGCACAGAAACAGTTCGAGAACCTAGAACGTAAAACGCGGCAGCGACATCCCCGAAGACAACAACTGCTGATCCGCTCACGAGGACTGGACTGGATGCAATTATTCATACTGTAAGTAAAATTGATCTGTCCCTTTAAACCGCTAACCGCTATCATGCCAGACATACGTAACGCAGAAATTGAGCAGCTGAGGCGGGAAATTGCCCAGATACAAAACTTAATTCAGGGAGCAGGAAATACTTGTAATATTCCTGACCCCATCAAACAACTGTCGGAATATCCAAGGGTTAAGAAAGAACTGAACGCATGGCTTCAGGAAGTAGATGAGCTAACGAGTTCAAAGTAAAGGGTTAACGGGGAGCTCCCGACACCTTCAACGCTCACTATTTTAGAGCAATCGAAAATAAATTAAAGAGTGATTCACGTGCAGTAGTGTATTTCAATGGTAACCCTGATATAATTGCACAATTGACAAAAGTTCTCAGAGAGAATTTTGGTGATCATCGAGATTTTACCACCAATCTTCATAATTTGTTTCATATGGAGAGAGGTGACAGAAATAACCAAAAGTTTTACAACGATATTAAGAAATTAAACACGAAATTGAAAGCGACCCTGCAACCACACCCTATGTTGTCTTCGCAAATGCCAGATTTTTTCCCCCCTTATTTAACGTCGGTCTCTGTTCCGCAATCTAGTGCCAATCACCGACGGACATCGATTGCCATCCATTGACGGCAATCGAATGTGCAGGAAAGCAGCTTCCACACCTGCGTAGGATATCGCACCCATTCAACATACATGAGCCGGGACCAACGGCTTTACTTCCCTTCCGAAGGAAGACGTGACCAGAGATTTTTATGCTTCAGAAAAATCCCACCGACCTCGACTGAGATTGAACCCAGACTCATTGGGGTGTTAGAAAGCAGTCACGCTTACCACTACACCACCGGCGCCGGCTAAATGCCAGATTAATGACGATAACAAAATTCTTAGACGGAGTGAGTTAGCCACTTGCTTCTATCATCCGTAATTCTGAACCTACACACCAAATTTAAGTTTTCATTATCAGTAAAACGAATTACTGGATCATGATCAGCAATCCAATGCTTTACTGAAAAACAACAAACGATATTTTTACTGAAAAAATCCGCTAACAAAAACTAACACCCAGTCAACGAGCTGTCAAACTATTAGCATCACAGTCGCAAGTATTTTTGCATTCGTATACCACCGTTCAAACCGCAGGAGGAGGAAGAGGTAAAAAAAACTACAAATAAATAAAATTATGTAGGTAAAGACACTGGCTCGGACACTGGGTATATTTAATAACTGATGCTTGGAAAAGAGCAAATATATCATATTAACAATATGATCCATTCATGCCTTTTCCAAATGTTGCAATGGTGACCCCCAAAATATTGCTTCACGCACCATCTAGCGTTGATAAAGGTCAGGAACAATCATTCAATTATCGAGGGGTGTGAATATAGAACTTATTACAAAAGTAAGAGTCAAATTATTTTCATTAATTACATTGTTTATATTGCTTTAAAATTTAACTGACATGTTACTGTTGTCATCAAATAAAATAAAATGCTGAAATACATTCATTTGAAATATTAAAAAAGATTTCATTTGGTTTACCCCTCGTGACGATAAACAAATACATTGGTAGCCTTTTTGGCCACAGAGGTGCTTTCATCGCTAAAAATTCGGTTCGCCAGCTAAGCGAAAGAGTGGATCATATTGTTAATGTAATATATTTGAAAAGAGTCTTTCGATTTTATCTTTATTATTCGTATATTTGTATCAACGATCTTTTACAGAAACTGGAAGCTCATATAGTGAAAACAAATTCAATTTACTGAATTTAATAGTTTAATCAGCTTGAGTCAGAATTTTGAATTTCTGAAAGATCAGTAAAGAAATATTGCTGACTTTCAGTAAAAGGTTGTCATTTTGACAGAAGTTGGAATTGCTGAAAAATTCAGCAGCATTATTTGCATTATTTCATCAAGTCTAAAATCAGCAAAATTTGACTGATTTTCAGCGATTTAAATTGGTGTGTAAAACCTTCCAGGCCGTCATAATCAATCAGAATGCAGAAGTGTGAAAACCAGTGTACAAACAAAAACCATTTAATGCACCCCAACAAAGTACCGCGAGCAGTGCACCGTGTAAAGTTTTCATTTCGTTTACACGGTAAACGAAACTGAAACCAAAACCTGGCCTCGGTTTTGAAAAGACAACGGAATCCATCAGCACTGGTTACACGTGTAAACGAGTTTGGGGTCGGGTGTATGGAATATCAACCACGGATTCGGTTCAGTTTGTGCAAACCGAACCTGGTTTTTGCTGAACATGGTTAAACGGTTGGGCGACGAAGCTGTAAATGGAGGTGCAGTGCTGCCGAATGTGCAAGT